TTGTGAGGCAGCATTTCTTCCAATTAAAGGAATCATTAAGCTGCCAAATTTTGTATATTATAATGAGTAACGAGTGAGCTGTGGTTACGTGACGCTCTGCCCAGGGAATGGAATATCTTACTGTATTTTTGTACTCTATATTAGAGTCGTTTGAGCCCCATTATTTGTAGATTATAATGAGATAATCCCAACTTGATTGGATTTTTTTAAAGATGCAATCCCGTTTAGTACTTTAAACCCAAAAGATTATTCTAGTGGTACCTAAAGGAGTACCGAAGGGTGTGGAATAATCCAAACCAAACAGAGAAGATTTTTGGCAGAACCTAATGGTCATTTTAAAAGCAGCTGATAGATGAAGACAGCTAATAAAACAAGAAAAAGTAGAAGCAATAACAAGGCAAGTTCGATCACATGCACCAACTGCCATAGAAATTAACTCGAAATACATCAAAATATGTCTTGCATGAGAACTATAGTCTCATTTATGCCAAAACTAATCCACGGAGAAAGCTTATTGAATTAATGAGACTGCAAATTATGAACAAAACCGACTAGTACATTCACAATAGTTACATATATGACACTTTTCCCTTTATTTGCTCCAACATAACACCGGAAATGTTTTCCACGAAGTATAACTGATGTTTGTGATGACAGTTTTATCCGTATAGGAAAAATAAATAAAGAAGACATCCAAAAGTAGAAAAAACAAGAACTCTATATCGTTCAAGTGGTTTTCACTTGCATTTAAAGAACAAGTGTTACCATCTAACCTGGTTGATGCTATGACACGACCCACTTCATTATTTGGCCACCATAGAGGATCAAACATACTTTAGACTGTATCTCTTCAATCATTTTGCATCTGGACCCGACACGAAAACACTACAGACAGATCGCCAACTCGACTCTGAACAAAAGCTCGACCAGCCAGATCTAGAGTATTATATCGTTCAAGTGGTTTTCACTTGCATTTAAAGAACAAGTGTTACCATCTAACCTGGTTGATGCTATGACACGACCCACTTCATTATTTGGCCACCATAGAGGATCAAACATACTTTAGACTGTATCTCTTCAATCATTTTGCATCTGGACCCGACACGAAAACACTACAGACAGATCGCCAACTCGACTCTGAACAAAAGCTCGACCAGCCAGATCTAGAGTATTTCCAATAAGGAAAGAAACATCCTGCAAGTTTTCCCGCCTATGTCAATTTCACTGTAGATACTCAAATTTGAAAGAAAAGGTTCCAGAAGATATGCCATCAGATGAACCACCACTAGCATGAAACCCATATCAGTTCAAGTTAATGACCAACAAATGCCCCAACCTTCAGGAGTTTTCAACTCAAGTGTATGTAACACCGAAAAAGTACATGACAGTCAATAGGAGAAGAAACAACACAATAATACAGTGCAAAGAATTGCAACAACGATAGTTTCCAATTGGTTACAAATACAAACATGATGTTTGGGAGAGGTTAAAAGCGAGTCAAACTTACTTTTAAGTAAATTTCTGTTTCTTCTTTTGTACAAGTAAAAGAAGTTTCAGAGAGAACAAAGTTAACTTATTTTGTGAGTAGAATGGGGTTACTTTCAAAATAAGTAACTTATTTATTTTCAGCATTGACCAAAAAAAAAAAAAAATTTATTTGTTCCAGAGTGTTTCCATTCAGTAGATGTTTTGAACTTATTCAAATACGCAGACAGTCGTGCAGTGCTACACAGTTGAAGAGACCATGAAGAGAGTGATTACTATACCTTCAACCGAATTTGAAACCCCCAGGTGGAACTGGAAGTTCACCTCCGAAGTTGAATCCAGATTGTGTAGTATCACCAGAGGGCAGCTGCTCATCCTCTTCTTCCAACCAATATGTTTCGAGTATCTTCACGGCCTTTTCGTATATTTCATTGTTGTCATGACTCTGGAGGTTCTCAATCTTCTCTAGACCCTCTGCATCATCAATCATTTGCGCAAAGACATTCACATCTTCAGTGTTTCCTTGGTTCTTCTCAGCTTCTCCAACCTTCAGTATGTTCTCAAGACCCTCCAAGCAGACTGTGACAATCCTTGGATCAGGACAAACTAGAAGGTCGCACAATGGCTTTATGCATCCCTCGTGCACCAAGAACCTGCCACCAAGTTGAAGAATTAATATTCAACCCAACTGTACAGTAACGTATGGGAATTAGATAATGGTTACAACGAATTATACTTGATTTGCTCGTGAGTTCCCCCAGACGTGGCATTTGAAATAGCCCAAGCAGCCTCTTTCTTTATCTCAAATTCCGCATTTTGAAGTAGTTGGACAAGAGGTGAAATAATACCAGCCTCAATCACAGCCTGTATTTTAAGATGACATATGCTCAGCATCTATCTCTTAGAAACTTGCAAAAAAAAATCAGAACTGCAAGTTGCCCTGATCCATCAAAATTAAAGTACTACTATAGGACAAAAATATAAATGGTGAACATCTCTAATTTGAAAATTAAAATTAATAACAGTTCCACTTCCAAAAAATTTCATAGTATTAATTTGTGTACCTGAATCTGATCCTTATTCCCGGCGGTGATGTTTGAAATGGTCCAACAAGCTTCCTTTTTGATGCTTTTCTTATAATTTTGAGTCAGCAAGTTAAGCAGACAAGAAAGTGCCCGATTCTCAATAACAACCTGAAAATCATTAAAGAGAAGTGAGTTTGTGAAAAAGATATCGCTGCTTACATCCTCCAATGATAGTATTCTTATTAGAGTTTTATTTAGAAGGCAGCCAACTTGACTTTCTGAAAGATGCTCATAAGAGTATTAAGGTTGATCTCTCCAGCTGATGCAGAGTTGAAAAAGGGTTCATCAAAGAATTGACCACACTATATATTTTCACCATCCAAAATTTCAAATCATTGGGATCACTAAACATGTAAAACATTTTCCTGGTCAAGGGACCCCTACAATACATTACAATGGCATACCAAGAAATGCCCCCATCCACCTTGAGAATCACAACTAATATTCCATTAAATGATTTAAATGGAGTTAAGATGCATAGTTCAAGAATAGTAAATGACAATAAAAAAAAGAAGACTATCAAATTTGAAAAACCATAGAACTGATTTCAGAAACCAGTTAATATCTTCCAAAAATCACGAGTACTCAAAAATAATTATATAAAAATCATCATAAAAGAAGTGTAGTTAGTGATATATGAAAATGAACAGTGAAGTTACATTTTCAATTCAGACCATTTTCACATTTCAATTAACAATATGATTATACAAAGAGAAGTGCTTGAATCAATAATTTCAGTATGCATAACTAAGCAAATCTATTTTGAAAAGGAAATTGGATTCGAGTCATTTGACTTTAAATAAAAACTACAAGGATTGTCAAACATTTAAATTGGTTTCAGTACACAGCGGAAGCCATTTAATATGAAGGCAAGAAACTTCTGTTGTAGTATTTAAATTCGGGGTTGTAACAAAGAGAAACAATGATAAAGTAGGTAACTTCTGTTAAACATCAATAATGATAAACAGAAATGCAACATATAGGCATGAGGTGAACATTCCAAGGGTGTCATATATTAAAAAGTGAGTGCTGTAAGACCAACTACATAAAAAACAAAAGAAGCAGAAATATCAGTAGAATGAGAAGTAGTTTTCCACTTCATAATCATCATTTCATACTAAGAAGAAAGGATCATGTGCACCTTAGAAATGCATCAAGTATGCCTATAGGCTTTATTACAATATCATACACGAATCAAACACCAATAATAGTCAATGAATATCTCATACCCACATAATGAGCAATTTCATTTTTTTTTTTTTGATAACTATGGGTGTCCGAGCTAACTTACGCGCACCTCGAATAATCTCATGGGGCCCTAAAGTTTATAGTCAGGTACTCACCTCAGTGATTATGAGGGGACTCGAACTAGGAGCAAATTAAATTAATAGCAAAATCAATAATATGCAAACAACTTTTTTACACTTCCCTTGTGTAACAAATAAATTTTCTAAACTGGACTAAGAACATGTTTGGTTAAGTTTAAAAAAGTTTACAAACAAGAGAAGCGAACATTTTTTTTAATCATGTATGTCTTGGTCAAAGTGGTTTTGACAGAAACCATAGAACTGATTTCAGAAACCAGTTAATATCTTCCAAAAATCACGAGTACTCAAAAATAATTATATAAAAATCATCATAAAAGAAGTGTAGTTAGTGATATATGAAAATGAACAGTGAAGTTACATTTTCAATTCAGACCATTTTCACATTTCAATTAACAATATGATTATACAAAGAGAAGTGCTTGAATCAATAATTTCAGTATGCATAACTAAGCAAATCTATTTTGAAAAGGAAATTGGATTCGAGTCATTTGACTTTAAATAAAAACTACAAGGATTGTCAAACATTTAAATTGGTTTCAGTACACAGCGGAAGCCATTTAATATGAAGGCAAGAAACTTCTGTTGTAGTATTTAAATTCGGGGTTGTAACAAAGAGAAACAATGATAAAGTAGGTAACTTCTGTTAAACATCAATAATGATAAACAGAAATGCAACATATAGGCATGAGGTGAACATTCCAAGGGTGTCATATATTAAAAAGTGAGTGCTGTAAGACCAACTACATAAAAAACAAAAGAAGCAGAAATATCAGTAGAATGAGAAGTAGATTTCCACTTCATAATCATCATTTCATACTAAGAAGAAAGGATCATGTGCACCTTAGAAATGCATCAAGTATGCCTATAGGCTTTATTACAATATCATACACGAATCAAACACCAATAATAGTCAATGAATATCTCATACCCACATAATGAGCAATTTCATTTTTTTTTTTTTTTGATAACTATGGGTGTCCGAGCTAACTTACGCGCACCTCGAATAATCTCATGGGGCCCTAAAGTTTATAGTCAGGTACTCACCTCAGTGATTATGAGGGGACTCGAACTAGGAGCAAATTAAATTAATAGCAAAATCAATAATATGCAAACAACTTTTTTACACTTCCCTTGTGTAACAAATAAATTTTCTAAACTGGACTAAGAGCATGTTTGGTTAAGTTTAAAAAAGTTTACATACAAGAGAAGCGAACATTTTTTTTAATCATGTATGTCTTGGTCAAAGTGGTTTTGACAGAAGGTGGATCTTATAGTCAAAATAAGTTTTTTACTTTTTAACTTAAATATTACAAAAGCAAAAATAAAATAAATTCTGTTATCAATGATCTGATCAAAGTTAAAAATTAGTAAATTACTTGGACAGTGATGTAGATCTTAATATGAAATAAGTACTTTGTTTGTACTTTCCAATTTTTTTTAATATATATATATTTTTTAATGAAGTAATCTACTTTTAAGACCGGCCATGCTCTAAGAGGAATAAGATGATAAAGACTAAAGAGCAACCCTAGTTACTTGAAAAGGCTTCTTTCTTCAAAACATAAATGACAATAGTTCTCTGCCACATGCAGACTCATAATGAATTCTTGTTTTTATATAGTTGACCATACCCTTGGCATTCCACATCCTAGTAGTTTCACACGATAACCTTTTGAATATATGTTGTTTCCGGATTTGTAGAGGAGGTATGTGCTTCATACATATTATAAGCATTGTATAAAAAACTGAACATAGATTGTGAATATGACAAAAGCAATGGTTATTTAGCAATAAAACAGTAATAAGACCATACTTTGCAAAATGAAAATATTCGAAAATGAACCATCAAGCAATGGAATGCATTTTTCCTGTATCATGGACAGGGAGAAAGGAGAATATGATACACAACAAAGGGGTAAGTATGTAGACCAACATAAACTACTAAAAGACCAGATGACATACCGTACACATTTTATAAATAAAACAAGTCAACAAGAGTTGGCTAGTAATTTAGTAGACTGTTGAGACCACTGGAAGGGTGAACCGACCGATTTTCCAACCATGTGAAAACAAATTCATATGCTTGAAATTAAGTCCTCTAATAAAGGTTAAGTACAAGAGCCAGCTGCATACCTGTGTCTGGATGTCATCTCCAGTCACAATATTACCAACAGTGCGCAGGGCAGGAATCAACACAGATGGAGAAGGATGCCTATAAACCACAAGAAACCATATTAGCCAGCTACGAAGTGCAGTTAACAAAACCGAAATTACAAATTAATTACATGAATATAGATGTGAAAAGTATAGCAAGGAATGATATCAAATATGATTATCTTACTCACAGTAAAAGCTCAACCAAACGAGGGCAAACGCCAGCCTCGATCACAGCTTGAATTTTATCATTTGTCCCGTCAGATAGATATGACAGTGCCCAACATGCATCAGTAAGTACTTCTTCATCATTTGTGTGTATCAGATGAGCAAGAGCAAGGAGGGCAGGCTTCACCTGCTCAATAATATTCAGCAGGAATTGCCTCAATATAAAACGTTCAGCAGTTTTTATATGCAACTACAGAGAAAAGTAATAATAGAACAAACCTGCTCAAACTGAGGCTGTGGCTTCCCCCGACAAAAGTTTGACAATGTCCACGTTGCATTTCGCAACATGGATAGCTTTGCTTTGTCATTAAATTGTGCCAATAAGGGCATTAATGCTCCATAACTAAGGACAAGATCACGACATTTTGGTGAGTCGCCAGCAACATTTCCTAACGCCCAAACTGCCTACATAAAGTAGTTAAACATAAAGACAAAAACAGCTGGAAAGTAAAATTTAAAGCTGAAGCACAATACAATGTCTACCTGCTCGCGAACATCATCGCTGGGGGAACTAAGAAGTCTCACAAAAATGGGAACTGCACCTTGATCAATCACAACCTTGGTGCTATCAGATGTTCCAGATGCAATGTTTGTAAGAACCCAAGCTGCCTCAAACTAGAAACAGGAATAATATAATGCATGATTTGAAGAAAACAGCAGTTGAAACACAAGAAATAAACAATTATTAGCACAAATTTAAACCTGAAGCTGCGGGTAATCATCCCTAGCAAGAAACTCAACAAATCGAGGAACAACTCCAGACCGTATTACTTCCTCAATTGGTGGATTTCGTTCTGAGGCAAAAAATAAATAAAACGCAAACAGAATCAGCTGAAAAGAAAAAATAACAATAAACAGTAATAAGGTCCATTTCAAATTAAATAGAATCAAAGAAGATAATTAATGAATTACCTATTGAAAGAAGTTTGCGAAACTGAGTTGTGGCCTCGAGTTGCAGTGTGCCGTCATTTGAGCAAACGTCAGCGATCATTTCCGGTAGACTTTCTAACTGCAAGATTGAAAAATGAAAATCCAATAGCACAAAACCGAAGTATTATTCCATCTAGAGCAAAGACAAATCAAATCAAACTATTCTCATCTCACAATGAACTTTATATCGCGAAGACGCGAACAACAAGAGTAATTAACGAAAACATTAACCTTCCAAGCCAAATTCGAAATTGAACGATGAACTAGTACTAATTTGTTGTTCAACAATCAACTATAGCAGCGAAACAAAATCTCATAAAATCCAGTAGATCAAAGCTCTATGGTATTCATAAAAACAGAAGAATCAATCGTAAGCGTGTTTTTTTACCTTCTTGTCCACCTGCTGAGGAACGTTGACGGTGGGCTGAAACTGCTGCGCTTGAAGGCCTTCACGGCGCTTCTTCAGCAAGCCCTCCTCCCTTCGGTTCTTCCGGATCTCCACCATGTTGTCCTCCCTCCTCCGCCGCCCCTCCTCCGCGTCCACCGCCACCTTGTACTTGCTCCGCCTCACCTCCGTTCTCGCGTTTGGCCTCAACGACATCGTTTCCGCGATTCAGAAAATAAGAAAACCTCAATTAAATAAATTCAACTTTTATGTATATATATGTATCGAACTATCTTCGATAACGACGAGAGTAAGGGAGAGAAAATGAGGTTTTTGAGTGATTGTTGAATGTGCTGGTGAGGTGATCTCGATTATCAGGTTCAACAACCACCTGATAATCAAATGGACATGATTTCTCGTCTTATTTTCAGTAATGCCACTGAGTTTCAAATTTGTAGTTTGGTTGCCCGTTTCGCAATACAAATATTAGCTAGACGAGGACTGATACTTGAACAAAACACTAGCGTACGTGTGGTGCGATAGTTCGAACATGTCATCTCTTCTGTCTTGTGAGGTGATCTGGATTATTAGGTTTCAACAACTGCCCGATAATCAAATGGACAAGGTTTCTTATCTTATTTACAGTAATGTCACTGAATTTCAAATTTGTAGTTTGATTGTCTATTTCGTAGCAAAAATATTAGCTACATCAGGACTGACACTTGTGTAGGACACTATCCTACATGTGGTGTGATCCTTCAATGAGAAGCCACCACCTCATTGGATGGTCGCACCACATAAGACGCGATCATCCTACCCCAAGTAAGTATTTCTAGTAAAATAGGGATGGTACATCAACATTAAAAATATAGAATTTTGTTGCTTGAGATTTAAGAATACGAGGTGTGAGACTAGCATGAGTTTTCTTGGTGTACATCAAATTTGATATCATGGTTATCATTGTGTAAGTTGGCAGCTTTTGTACGTTGATTTTAATAACATTCTTTCCAATCAAGGGCCAAATTTCTTGCATTTAGGGGATGTCCATATAGGGGATGTCATCCAAGATATTAAGGAGGAATGTACAAATAAATTAATCTGACTAGCATATATGCGATGAGAAGCCTATTCATGTATGATAATCAAAATCGTGAATCATGTTTAGTCGAGTTTAATAATTTTAATTATATGGCCAAACACAATTAGTCTACAATTAATTTTTGAATTAATATTTTATTTATCGAATGTTGTTAAAAGTTCTTAATTGATGGTCAAGAGCTTCAACCACAATGATTTGATCAGATCAAGATCTAAAGGATAATGTTGTCACCTTTTGGAGCTCTTCGAATCATCAACAATTGATCTCTCACAATATATTATAAAACTATGTAGATATTTATATTGCTCTCAAGGAATCACACTACAATCGAACAAAGTTAGAATTCTTGATAGATTAGATCTTTATAACTATCAACTGTCTATATCTATGCATACTCGCTACTTGACTTGTTGGATTCTTGTTTTCACATGTATTTATTTTGTACCATAAATGGTATAAAAAAATTTCATTATATAACGAAAGTTGATTTTGTCAATTCGAGAAACAATCAAAAAGTACAAAATAACTTCTTGTAAATATTAAATGATGATCAAGTGCATTGAGATTTCGGTTGTATTATATGTACATAACAACTTATATAACGATTTATCAACAGATGATATTGTGAGATTTAACAAGATTAAAATATCATAAATTAAATAATTTTCCCACTTACATTTTGACACTTTATTATTATATAAAACTTTATATAAATATTTATATACAAGAAGCATTTTTTTTTTTTGTGATTTTGTCGGGACAACGGTTAACATAATAGTTGGAAAATATTGTCACATTTATGAGGTTTTTGTCACTTTTTTAAATTTCTTATCACTTTTCATTTAATAGTCTTTCTTTCTCTTTTATAGGATTAGTAGTTAATCATACCATAGAAATATTGAAAAGTGACATGATACTTTTTTAAAATTAATGTACTTTTTTACACTTTGAACTTCATAAATTTGCTACCGAATTTGGCTTATATGTAAAATAAGGATTATGCCAATTATTGTATTGATGGAATTGCATATTAATGAAATTAATGAGAACTTAATCTCTTTTTAACAGTATCAAAATTTAGCTTCTTAAGAAAGTGATATTACATCACTTTCTTTACTGGAAAATGATTTTCCATTTTAACAAAGGTTGTTGTTTGTGTATTTTATCGGGACAACGATTTCAACCATTTTATCATTTTTATATTTGTCATCTTGTTCCCATTTACCTTCATAACAAATGAAGATGTTAATTTTATCCATATTTACAAAAAGAATAAAATAAAATACTATATTATGTCACTTTTTAATAAAAAGCAAGGGCCTGCTTAGAAGTTTTTGCAATACTAGTTATGAACCTTTTTTTTTTAAAGTAACGTTTTTAAGCATTTATGAGCGGAACAATTTTGAAGGGTTTTAGTAACGATTTTTAAAATTGTTTGGGAGTTTATTATCTTCTGAAAGTTTTTTTAAAATAATAAAATTACAGATATGACTCGGACGATAATATAAGCCCTTGTTTGAGCCTCATTTTTTTGGGAAGAATGAATTTTTGAATAGTGTATTGATAGAAAATGTGTAGTTAAAAAATAAGAAAAATTTTTGGGTTTGCGTGTAATATTATTTTATTGAATAATGTGTGGTTGAAATGATGTCAAAACATTATTGAAAAATGAATTTTTCCAAAAGAATGGGGCTCAAATAAGGGCTAAGTTTATCGTTTGAAAAAAATAATATCAATGAAAAGAAGTTTTACATATTTATACCGAATGATTTTGATTGTTTATGTATTTAGGGAAGTGGAGGATATATTCAAATCGACAACTTGAAAGTCAAATCATTTTAAAAGTTATAAATAACTAATTAAGTTTAAATAGTTTTTTATAAATAAAATTTAAAATAAGTAAATTATTTTTTATTTTTTATTTTAAGTATGAGCATCTACAATTAAAATTTGAATTTGAATTATATATCAACTGTTGTTGAAAACTCTTAATCAAGATTCAAAAACTTCAACACAATGACTTGATCAGATCAAGCTCTAAATGATAATTTTGTCACATTTTGGAGTTCCTTGACTCATGAACAATTAATCTCCCACAATATGTTGAAAGACTATACCGATATTTATATTGATGGAGACTTGACTACAAATTTTCAAGGAGTCCCGCGATTGAGCAATGCTTGGAATCTTGATTGATCAAATCTTTTATAACTATCAACTATCCGTATGTATCCGTACTCCTTACTTGGCTTGCAAGTTGCATGGATTCTTGTTTTCGTACGTATATGTTGTATACCATGTATGGTTTAATAAGTTTCATTATATAACGAAAGTCGTTTTTGTGTAACTAAGAGAAACAATCAAAAAATATAAGTAACTTGTAAATATTCAATGATGATCAAGTGCATTGAGATTTTGTCATGATAGCAGTGAACATAACATAACAGCCGGACAATAAAAAAAAATCATATAATTGAGGCGAATTCAATATTGTGATTAGTTGTCCAAATAACTTAGGCCCCGTTTGGTAGGGATTTTTTGCCCCAAAAAATTGATTTTTTTACCGTTATTTTACTATTCAGGCCGTAATTTTTGATTTCTTCTCTCATATGTGGACCCCACTTTTCTTCTAACGGTTAAAAAATCAATTCTCAAAATCCCTACCAAACGTGCCCTTAATAAGCAAAAATATTTATTTTATTTAATATATTTATATAATACAAAATATTTTTTTTCATTGAATTTCTATTAAGCACGTACTAATAAGCAAAAATATCAGTAAACCAACTTCAAAAAATATAAAGAACTACAAATTCACTTCATGACCCATTCAATGTAAAATCCATTGTTTAAATTTAAGTTGGTCCACTATTATCTTATACAGACCATTTAGCACATCAGAATTTTATTAGATATGATTTTTTCATTTTGACGTTCTTATTTTATTGACTCCAAACTCATCCAACCAAAAAAAATTTTAAAAAAAAATAAAAAAATCCGAAGAAGAAGAACTTTTTGTTACATATTTTCTTATTTCAGCTTGAAAGTTTCCTTCTCCTTGATGGCTCACTTGAATACCAAGTCCAGATTTTTGGCATCAAACGTTTTTAAAGCCCTTAGCAATGTTTGGTTGAGTAGAATGGAGAAAAAAAATCCAAAATCTTATCCATCAAGTAGTCGCTTCAATTCATTAGTGTGTACCAAACGTGCCTTAAAATTTATGGCACACGGCAAAGGAAATGATCAATTACAGTGTAACAAACCTGCCCAGATTGTGGAGCATCGCCAGAAAGAAGGCAGATTCTCATCGTCCTCTTCCGACCAATATGTTTCAAGTAGTTTCACGGCAATTTCACATATTTCACTGTTGTCATGAGTCTGTAGGTTCTTAATCTTCTGAAGACCACCAGCATCATCAATCATCTGAGCATAGACGTTGACATCTTCGGTGTTTCCTTGGTTCTTCTCAGCTTCTCCAACCTTCAGAATATTCTCAAGGCCTGCCAACCAATATTCGATGAAATCTGCCGGGTTGGGAGTAATTTGAAGACCGCACATTGGCTTTATACAACCCTCACGGACCAAGAACCTGCCCCCAAGATGAAGCATTAATACTCAACCTAAATGTACAATAAGGTGCGAGAATATGATAATAGCTGTGAAGAATTTACTTAATTTGCTCGTTAGTTCCATCCTTTGTGGCGAACAAAATAGCCCAAGCAGCCATCCACCATATCTCAAATTCATCATTTTGAAGCAGTTGGAGAAGAGGCAAAATAATATCAGCGTCAATCATGGCCTGCGTATTAAGATGACATTGTTAGAATAATTCTAAAAATATGGGCTTCCCATTTGATTGCAAATTTTACGGGTAGATATATGGCTCATAATAATATTGTCATTAAGCTCAATATGTTAATTGCTCACTTGGACCGTTTTACACTTTACGGGTTATATTTTATATAATGTAGTTTAAGTACATGGTCCGAAAATATATAAACCCTAATTAGGGTTTAAGTCGTTAATTGGACGGTTCCATAAATTCCTATATTAAGGTTGGGTTCCTCTCCTCTCCATATGTTGTTTTATTGACTTGTCCTATTGACGGCTAATATTTTGAGGAACAAGGAGAGGAAGTTCTAGCTGCTAATATTCATATCCAAGATGTCTTCTCACGTATAAATTTTAAAGTATCAATTAAAAATTGTGATTCTTGTTTTTTAGCTTGATTATTGTTAAATACAAAAATTAGTATCAGAACTTCCATGCTAAGATTAGAATCCTTCATAAAAACAATAATTATTGAAGAAGTTATTATTCATAAAGAAGTTGGAGGTTTTGGTATAAATTATTGCGACCCCTTTGATAAGATCGAGGATACGAATATTAGTCGTGCCTAACAAATAGATTGCCCTAAGAATCATTAGCAGACACATTTGAATTTTTTTTTTATTAAATAATTTTTTTTTTGTTTTTTTTTTTTTTTTGTTTTTTTTTTTTTTTTTTCCAAATAAGCATGATATCTTATATGTTTATGGTAAAATGAGAGATGGGAACATTTAAGGTGCGTTTGATTGCCAATATTTTTCATGGAAAATGTGTTTTTTCACTCAAATTCCTACTTTTATGCTGTTTGATTGCCATTTCATTCCATGAAAAATATTTTCCTATTTTTGGTCACGTAACCATATTTTCCTCAAAATCAAAGAAAATATTTTCTTTAGGGGGAGTAAAATTTTATTTTCCAGGGGATTCACCCTCTCTTTCTCTAAGATTTTATTTTCCAGGGGATTCACCCTCTCTTTCTCTCTCTAGGGTAGTCACACTCTCCCATCTATTTACCAATAAAAATAGACAAGTATAATATTTTCTACGTTAAAAATTAAATCAACTGAACACATTTAATTCACAATTTCTATGCAAATAAGTTCTAGGCAATTGAATTACCTATAATTTATTTTATTTCCATGCAAATTACATGCTTGCAATCAAACGCATCTTTATTATCCCTTTTTCCACAAAATAATAATAATATTAATAAAAATAAAATTGAAAAACTGCATTTGTGGTCAAAATTATAGAGAGCTAAACTAAAGAGCTTAAGCCTGCCAACATTATTGATACAAAAAGGGTTGTCCACGGACTGCTGGGTGATGGATGTTGTACATGGACGAAATTTTTGCAGCAACGAGAAGTATGCTCCCTGTTGCTTGCACAATTGACAAAAACCGAAATAGGGATGAGTGTGAGATGCTGGTTGGTTACCTTTTCATTGATTGAATTGGGAGGCCGATGGGTCATGGTTTTTGTTGGCTTTTGTCTATACCTAAGGCCCTGTTTGTTTTTCATTTTTGGAAGAATGAGAATGAAAAATATAGTTGTTATGGACCTCATACAAGATATTGAAATTCAAATTTGGCTGCTTGATGTGATGAATAACTATCATATTTTTCATTTTAATTAGAAAAGAATGGAAACCAAACATGGGCTAAATTTTTTGTTTCAATAATTAACAGATTTTGTGAAGATGGAGGCAGGGGCTTAGGTTGTAAATAGTGAAATTATGGGGCCCCATGCAATAAAAGGAAAAATGGGCCCGTTTGCAATTTTGGAAGAAAGGACCTACTCCGTAATTTTTAAATTTTGAGGTTTATTTTATAATTTTAAATTCAGGATCAAAATGCATTTTTCAAAAGGAGGTATTAAATTTGAATTTTAAAAGGATTTTAAAATTATATTTAAAATTGGCGACATTTTATACTTTCGTTAATATGTTTATATATTTAAATGTTGTTATTATTTGTTCATTTAAATTTCACATTTCATATATTGAAATTTTGTTGTCAATTATGTCTCTCAATCACACATGAATTTTGCCTTTTATCGGTTTATATTTATGATTTGTTGCATAATTATTATTTTATGATTGAATTTTCATGGGCTTTGAGACGATTCTTATTTTTTCACTAAGAGAAATATTTTGAAATAAAAATGGGTGGTAGCTGCAAAAGTGGCACACTTGTTATTTATTCGATTTTTTCTACAAAAAAAAAAGGTGTCAGCTTCGCATTTTTGAATGATTGCATATAGTATATGTTTTGGAAAATGGTAAAAGGCAGTTAACGAGTTTACTTTAGTCTAGAAACCTCATTCTGTCTAAAGGTTTGGTGTTTCGAAAATCAATATGATTTTGTTAATTAGTTTCATGATATATTTTAAGAGTACCTTGCAGCATATTGTATTGTCAGCTCAAAGGTAACTTTATAATGATGCATCTAGACTCTTACCGTAATAAGGTTCATGTAGTTTTGACTTTAATTACGAATTATCTAATTAACAGTCCATGTTAATTAAATGAATATTTTATCATCCATTGACTACATGAATTATGTTTGGATGATATTAAATATGATATTTTATTTTTCTACAATGTATAATGCCTAATGATAAGTGTAGTTTCTAAAATTATTTGTGATCCTAAATGATGATATTTTGTTATTGTTTGGACAGATTAATACCTAATTTGTTAATTATAGCTTTTATTAGGAATAATTCATGTTTCGAAGAAGAATTTGAAGAAAGAACGAAAAGGGGTAAAATTAAGCAAACCTAAAGTTTGGGGACTAAAATGTAAATATTCAAACATTGTTTCGGACCCCATGATGAAGATTTGAGAGTGCCTGAGGTCAATTAGATGAGGAAAGATACATCAACTTTCAACCGAAAAAATTATGCTTTGGATTTTTAGTCTTATATTGAGACCCCATTTTGGCATATCAAACTTTTGAATTGGAAAAATGATTTCTCAAGAAGAATTGTAGTCCTCTGAGTAAACTTTCCAATGCACTTTGAATAACCTTGATTGGATATCGGAAAAAAAAGTTATGATAAAAATACTAAAAGTCGTTCGATTGTTGGAACTTAGTCAAGGCGCACGCCCTTGCCTCTAGGAGAGGCACGTGCCCCTAACCGAGAAGGAGGCGATTAAGGCACCCCAAGGCTCTGAGGCACGCACCTCAATGTTAAACACGGAAAAATTTAGGTTTCTTTATTTTATTTTGGTAAGGAGTCTTCTTGACATCTTATAAATAGGAGAACACACCCATATCATTAAGAACCTCCCTAACACCTTAAAATTCATAGATTTAACATATTTTGGAAGCGAAGAATGAGGCTACATCATCAATTTCAAGGAAATTGTGCAAGATTTTTGAAGATTATCCATTCAAAATCAAGATTTCATTCACGAAAGTGGATTTCGCTACTTTCTTCCATATTTCTTCGTTATGGGTGATGTCTTTTCATTATTTCTTGTATAATTTAATAATTAGGATGGTTGTCTAAGTTTTTTATTGTATTGGATGAATGATGAACCCTATTGTTTGTTTATATTAATTCAACACAATTAATTTAGTATTTCATGATTTTTTTTGATTGGTTTTGCATTCCCATTGAATTATTTAATTGCTTGATCACTACTTAGATAGTAAGTAGCTTGCTGTAGTGTAGGAATACTCAAATAAGTCTAGAACACGGTAAAATCAATACATGGACAATATGTATTAGGAATAATATTTATGGTATGTGCAATTATGTGAGATAAATCCTGTGAATCAATGCATATTTTTCATATAAATTCGGACTAGCAATAAGATCGAGTCGTGTTAAACATATGTTTAATATATATTGGCAAAGAATATTGAATAAAAGTGGATTATCGATTGTCTTGAATGCATGAATTTACTAAATAATGAATTAAGAGTTGAATTAAATAGCAATAGAGGGATTCACGATTCAAATGCAAACATTCACATATTAAATAAATCGTTTATTTGCTTTGTTAATTTATGACTAGTCTAGAAAACATATAAATCACAACTCTCTTGATATCACCACACTTCAAATTTAATACTAGTTATTGAACTACAAATTAGACTTTATTCCTCGTGGGATTGATACTCTTAACTCACAAATCTTATTACCTGTACAATGACCCGTACGCTTGCTAATTTTCTACAAACAAGTTTTTGGCGCTGCTGCCTGGAAATAACGAATTTAATTTTAGTTTAGTAGTTTATATTAGATTAGATTAGATTAGATTTTTATTTTTATTTTTAATTTTTTTGTTGATTTTGGCTACCACTCTGATATCTCTTATTAGGTAATCTTTCCAGATGTCGTTCAGTAGTGCATCTAGGATTTTGACGCTGGCATGGTAAAAAGATTTCTGTAATAAATAATCTCGACATGAACTATAACGAAAAAAATATCAATTGTGAATTATGCTATGGGGTGCATTATACTGGCTACTGCTTGAATTCAAGCACTGATCCTATTAGCTCAAGCTCTTATGATTTAAACAATATTTAAGATGTCGAAGACTAGCAATTGACACATCTTTTAAATGCTACATGCTTGTGGGCGAGTATCTCCCTTCCAACACTCTTGTGGGATTTGATCATTCCATGTTGAATGAGGATGCACTTGCAAAATACTACACCGATCTTCCTAAGTTGGATGAAAAAAAATGTGTAGGGGATGGCCTATTCTGGTATGAATTTAAAATGTGGAGATATAATCCACTCAAGAAATTTGAAAGAAAAGAGTTTCCATTGCCTGTGAATGTAGATTGTGAACCGCCCATTCAACCCGAAGAGATATCAATAATGGAAGACGAGAACAGAGATGATGAAAGTTCAATTGCAAATGAACAAAACGAATGGGAGGTAATTAATGAAGAATACATTAACCCACATTCTGTCGATTTCATTGATTGTCCTATCATTGAATTTGTAATTA